AAATAAGTATGGCACAGAGGAAGCTGTTAGACAGAAAGTTCGTGTTTCACAGAATAGAAATGTGTCTTATTATGCACAAAGGATAAATCTTGGCATGTCCTGTGACAGGAAGGCAAGAGTGACTATGGAAAGATACGAAGCACAGGAAAATGAAGGTGTGTTTCGAAACTTTCTTCTTGGCGTTGTGAGTGAAGTACCACTTTTACCTCCTGCCTGATACTTGATACCTCACTAAAAATAGAGAGGAGAGGCTCACCCATCATCCCTCTTGATGACAGCAGAGCCAAATCTGTTTGTCCTTAGATGTCTGAAATGGGAATGCAGTGTAAATCAACATTTTGTTTGTTTATTTATTTTTTTAAAGGCTAGATGTTTTTACAAAAGACCTCTCCGAGCCTGACAGTGAGTTCAGATGTATTTGATGAAGTTATGCTTTTTTACCAGGTGGCTTTTTTTTTTCTTTTTTTCACTCTGAGCCAGAATTAGCGTCATTACTGATGTTTCTGTGGTGAAGGCACTTACAGCCATGGCTGGAAGTGCTGAAGAAATTTTTCTCATAAGAACAACCATAGCTTCCCCCCTCTCCCCCCATCCAGTAATTGTTTCAATATTATAAGTTGATATGCTCATTTATCACTGCAATCATTATTAATGAGTGCTGGTTTTCTCTGTCACGTCGCCATGGCAACCGGGTGACATGTTTGAGTGGAACTATCTGTTTCCAGATGGAGATCTTCATTCATAAGATTTGCCTGCTGAGAATTTTTGCAGCATATTCAACTTCAGAATTCTTCCTCCCTTGCCTTTCCCCCAGAGTTTGGAGCTAGAGGCGTTCCTGCTTTATATCCTGGGATTTTGTGGTGGGTGTTATGCTTGCAGTATTTCTGTCTTTTGTTTGTGGTTCATTTATGTTGTTTTTCTTTTGATTTAATTGAGTTGCTTTAGGATTTGCTGTGCCAGTGCTGTAAACCCATTCCTCCCCCATATGAGTTATTGGAAAGCTTCTCTTTTTACGTAATATACCACACAATAGAAGACAGGACTTGATTTTTACTTTTACTCCTAAAAGGACCACAGAGATGTATTTCTCTTTATATATGACATACCACACTCTGAGTTATAGTGTCATAATTTTTTTCTCATATTCACTGCTTGGTTTTTAGTTCTGTCCAAGAAATAAGCAAGATGTTTCACTTTTTTTTTTTTTAATATGTATAAAACTTTATTAAGGAAGAAGAGCAAGGTAAAGATCCACAGAACTTTATATAATTTCCTTTATTCCAAGCTTCTTACAGTTTTAAAGGTCTTGTTAACTGCCAGGCTTAGTTAGGTCCTACTGGATCTCAGTCAGCATTTCAGGATTTCTCTGGGTTCATTTCTGATCACTCAGACCAAAATACCTCAAAGTGTTGTATTTCCTTTAGTAGAAATCAGAAGATAAAAATCAAAAGGTGATTTTTATCATCCTTTACTTCTTCAGCTCCAGGTCACTCTTACTTTATTGAGCAAAACCCAGTTAGCAGATTTTGCAAATATTTTCAGGAAAGGCAGTAAAGGCCCATTCATCCAGCATGTCTTAAATACAATTTTCATATTCACCTAAAGCCATTAATGACCATGAGGTCTTCAAGGTCTGCCTGTTGCTTAAACACCCATTCTCTTGGGCTTCCAGTTCTTTCATCCTGACAGGAACTTCAGAACAAGAACAATCTCTTCAAATATTTCAGAATCTGTAGTTTCTGAACACCTTGTCTTATGCATATCATATCTATAGAAGATAAATATTGTCTTCACCTAGTGAAAAAAAGTCTGTATATAGTTGTGTTCTCCCAATAATAACCTAATGTAGCAAGACCCATCTTCTGCAATTAATTATTTGAATTTAATTGCTATATTTAGTGTATTTTAATGATGAATGTTGCCATCCCAGGAGATGGTCTTGGCCTTTAAGGCAGCTCCTCAGCTTCAGATTGTGTCACAGTTATATTGGTTTTTGAGATAACAAACAGAGATTTCTTCCGCTCAAACACGCGCTGTGTGTTCGAACTGTGACATTTAAATTAATTTTGTAAGACGCTATTACAAGACTGATTTCTGCTAACATCTGCAGGAGCAGGGGTCTTCTGCTTTGGCCTCATGATTTTTTAAAATCTGTATCCATAGAATCACAGACTAGTTTGGGTTGGAAGGGACTTTAAAGGCCATCTTTTCCACCAGGGACACCTTCCACTAGCCCGGGTTGCTCCAAACCCCATCCAACCTGGCCTTGGACACTTCCAGGGATCCAGGGGCTTCTCTGGGCAACCTGTGCCAGGGCCTCCCCACCCTCTCAGGGAAGAATTTCTTCCCAGTATCCCATCTATCCCTACCCTCTGGCAGTGGGAAGCCATTCCCCTAAGGGGAAGGTGGATTTCTCCAAAGTAAGAGTTGCTGTTTGGTGTGGTGGGTTCAGCTTGCCCCAGAAATGCAGTGAAAAATGACTGGTTTATTTTTGGAAGCTTTCTTGCTGATGCATGAATTGAACATGAATTACCCAGGTATCTGCACTCCTACAGTTGGTAGGATGGGGAAGGGAATGCCAACTGTGCTGCAGATAACTGAGTAGTTACTATATTCACGAGTAAAGTACTGAAGTTTACTAACACTCTTGTGAAAATCACACAAGAAGTCTTTGCAAAAGTTCTTTGCCACCATTTTAGGGCTACTTGGTGCATCTGACAAATGATGCGGCGTTGGAAGGATCTGTGCCCATCTTCAACGTGAACTTAAAATTGCATTTTTGAGGGATTTTGTTGATGGTGATCTCTAAAAGCCTCTCCAGCTGTATCCAAATTTCACATCTAAATCTGATTATACCGGTTATCAGCCATGGGCTCATCAGTGCCCCTGTTTGACTTGCTGTTTTTCAAGGAAGCATCCCTCACACACAGTCCCCACAGGGCTGCCATGCAGTCGGTGTTCAGGCACAATTAATCTCTTGGAATAAACAGGAGACACGTTCCAGAGGTTATTTTTGCCTGCTGAACATCAGGACCTCCATCCCTTCCTCGTTTTCCACCGGGCTGGGTGGGCCGTGCCTCCCTCTTTCCAGTTACCATGGGCGAGCTGAGGGTTCTGCAGACTTCCCCTGTGCTATTTTCTCTTGCTCATCTGTTTTCCCCTTCCAATCCCTGCGTGCCACCGTGGGAGTTTTATGCCTTTTCTGCATGTGGGTTTTATTGCTAATCACAGCAGAGATCACTGGAGCTGGGAGCGAAATGGAAGTTAGATAATTGCAGTCAATCAAGTACTTCGAACTCCCAGGCTTTGTTGTGTTCAGCCCTTTTGGGTTTATGAATTGTCACCTCCAGACTGGCTAAATTACACTGAAACAAACAAACAAACAAACAAACAAAACCCTCTCAGAGTTGTTGTTCACATTTACCCATCTAATAATATTGCCTGAAATTCTTCCATCTGTTTTTTGAGACTTTGCATCTGAGATGCTGCCATTTGATAAAACCACAGTTTTATTTAAACCCTATAATAAAAAAACCCATATAGATACAGACTAAAGCAAATGCAAAGCCATGTTGTACTTTTTAAAATTGGATTGTTTTTCAAGCAGTCTTATTTTTAAAAAGAACCTTTTATAAATAAGCCTTACTTTTCAAAGTAAGGCTTATTTAACTTACAGGTTCTGGGGTTCACAGTTTCCAGAAAACAGCTTTCCTTCTAAATAATGTTGATTACTTTTTTAGCAGTGCAGTAATCCAGAAAAATCCATTTTTCCCTCATCAAATGAGAGAAATTGCTTGAAAACGCACACAGAAATAGGAAATTTTATGTGGTTTCTTTTAATTTGCCAAGGTTTTGCCTTTCATTCCCAGTGCACTGTGTCTCATTTCACTCTGTATTAATATTTGCCACTTTTGTGGGATAAAGTTTCTCTTCTGCATCGTGTATCCTGGCTGGAGGAGTGTGGGTGCAAAACTCTGGGTATTTTTTCCAGTAGATTCATGTCTAACAAAGAGAACCAAAGCACAAAGAGGCTGAGAAAAGGCAATGTTGGTACTACAGGCACTGGGTTTTTAGGCTGGAGAGAAAAATCACTTCTCCCCAAATCCAATCTTGTCCTACCAAAGAAAAAAAAAAATCTCTTTATTGAACCTTCCTGTGGGATAGATAATATTTCCATATGGGAGCTGGGAATTTATTATTTGAAGAGCTGAAATGCCAAGCTGATAAATGTTAAGGGCAAAGCAAGAATCTTAGTGGTTTTTTTCTTCCTCATTTTCAGGCTGGATTTCTGTCTGGGTAATGTTCACGTGCAGGAAAAAACGGTTGCTGGGTGGGAAATGGGGAGAGGAAGATGGTTGGCATGGGGCCTTTTCTCCAGAAATAATTCCATGACTGTACATTGTGTCCTAAGGAAAAACAAAATTAAAAAAAGAAAAAAAAAAAAAAGGAAAAAGAAAAAGCAGTGGGGTTTGGTGTGAGCTGTTTTTACCAGCTTTTAACTTAAATTTTCAGTAGCCTCCATCAGCTTTGCTTTTCCAAAGAGTCTTTTTTTCAGTGCAAGGAATATCTGTGAGCAGACTCCTCTCTGTAGTAACTGCTGCTTGCCCACTGAGAATAAAAATCCAGGGAGGATGCAGGAGCAAAGAACTTGTTTGCACTGAACATGTTATAGAGAAAACCAGGGATTTGAGAGAGAGTACACACCAAACATCCCTGTTTCGTGGTGCCATGGCTGTGCTACACCAGAGAGCTGCTGAACAACTTCTGGAAACCAGAACTGAACATTCTTACTGAAGCTTCAGTCAGAAGTATCTCCCTTGGTATCAATCCCATTTAAGCCTTTGAAACTATATACGTGTAATTTTTAGTTGCTTTGCTTAACTAGGGTCTTTTCTAGTCAGCTGTTTTGGTTTTAGTTTGATTTCTATCCCAGCTGCTGAACTACACCGGTTCAAAACCTTTTTTTTTTTCTTTTTTTGTTTTTTTCCCTTGGTGCTCAGATGAGTATAGGATCAAACCAGTGGAAGAGGTCAAATACATGAAAAATGGGGGAGAAGATGATCAGAAAATAGCAGCCAGGAACCAAGAAAACTTGGTAAGGATTGAACTTATCGCTTATCTAATGGCATATAACGTGGCTCTGCTTTTGTCCTGAAATGTGTGTGAATAAGGAGTGACACCCTCGAACCCCCGGCTCGCGCACGGCTACGGGATCTGCTCCAGAATCGTCCCAACTTCCCAGCAAAGCTCTCACAGAAGGTGCAAAACGTGACGTTTTCCTGCTTGCCTTTCTGAATCGGGCTCTGCTTGGTCTTGGAGGGAGCGCTCCCACGGTCATAACTCCCTCCCCTCCTTTGCAGACCGGAACAAACGCTTTGTTTTGAGATGTGTGGGGTGGTAAACCAGCAAGGGCGCTGCCATTAAGGAAACGACCTGCTTGTGTAGGTATTACCTACTCATCTAGATAGTAAACCATTACTGCTGGTTTTCCATGCTTTAAAATTCACAGGGAAGGAAGTTAGGACTGGAAGAAAACCAATATATTCATAACAAAGGGGTCACAAAAGTCGTGGCGCGTGTGTTGCTTTTGCCCTGATTTGAGCACTTTGCCAGCTCGTAGTTCCACTTACAGGAAGGCAGTCACAGGTGAAGCCTTAGGACTACTTGAAATCAATAGGATGCTGTTGAAGCAGCTTAAAAATGTCAGTTGAGTCACTTCTGGCATTTCTGAGAAGTCGTTTCTTCTCTTCTAAGGCTGGAGGAACTTGGGTTTTGTGATTGGCTGGCTGGGGCTTTGCCCAGTTGAAATTTCCCAAGACATCCCACAGTTCTCATAGCTGGGTGCAAAATCTCACATCTGGTCCCACTCATTCACTGCAGCTTGGATGGTTGGTTTTCCCCCCACACTCCATCAGTAGGAGCAGAGGGGGGAACATCATCATCATCAGCCTTCAGTGGAACTGTAACCATTATCACCAGCTGAGGATTTATTTCCCTTTGGCAGTAATTGTACAAAAAGCCACTGTTTGGGATTTTTTTTTTCTTTTCCTGGAGATGTAAGTGATCTCCAGGCAATTGGATGCTTCATAGTCGCTCTTCTAGACCCACACACTTGTCTAACAGGGCTCCACGAGCATTCCTGCAGGAAACAGAGTTTATTTTGCTGTCCTAACCCCATTGCTCAAGCAGTGGTTGAGCAGCAGGTGACACAGTTTCCTCCTCAGATCTCCAGGTTAGGTATTTGCCACCTGCAGTTTTGCATTGCTAATGCTCCAGAGGACAGTGCAACATCAGTTTGTAGCAGGATTTTAGGGTCTTTTTTTTTTTTTTTTTAGAGCCTCAGAAACGTTGCTGAGAATATCCCCTTTTCCAGCAGCATCCCCGGTACATCCAGCTTTAGTAGGAGGGATACTGGGAAAAGGTTCTTCCCCCAGAGGGTGGTTGGCACTGAACAGGCTCCCCAGGGCAGTGGGCACAGCCCCAAGGCTGCCAGAGCTCCAGGAGGGTTTGGACAACGCTCTGAGGGACAGAGTGGGATTGTTGGGGTGTCTGTGCAGGGCCAGGGGTTGGACTGGATGATCCTTGTGGGTCCCTTCCAGCTCAGGATATTCTGTCTAGATTTTAGACTATCCTTCAGCTGCAGTTAAATTGGAGTATTTGCAGAAGGTAACGTGCCACTTGAAGGACAGCAAGGGAAGGCTCAGGAAAGCTCAGGTCTGCTGGGGTGACACAGTGGCTGAAGTTGTATCCCAAACTAGCTCAAGATATTTTGCACTTTGGTTAGTTCCTGCTGTCCTGCAGCATCTAAGTGCTGGCCTGATTAAATTTAGGAAGAGCCATTTCTACAGCGCAGTGCTTGGTATTTTATTATTGATGGGCCCTGTTTGATGGGAGCAGTGGGTTTGTTGGAAAATGGAACTTCATATGGATTCTGAGGGCTGGTATAGCTCTTCTCTCTCATGCTTATCAGAAGGGAAATAAAAAGACAGTAACACAAGAAAGCCTTCAGTCAGGATGTATATACTTTAAAACAAAAACTGTCTTGCACACCAAAAAGGCTTTATTTTCCTTTTCCTCATCTCACTATAAGGAGATTACCTTGTCTGTAATGCATGCAGCTTCTTAATCCTGGGAATTGTCAAGTCCTCGTCACTCCTGGATTTTTTCAGGCGGGTTTCACTGTTCCAAGTTGTCCTCAGTAAACATGTTTTAGTTCAGTGCTTAGAGGATGGGTTAAGCTACCCATCACTCAGGCTTTGATTTTCTTAACGGGTGAAAAGTTGGCAAGCGCTTACGTAATCCCGGCTTCTCATCAGCCATTTCCAGGCAACAGAAATTTTAGGAACAAGGAAAGGCGGTGGGAGAATCGACCGGCCCTCGATTTCCCCTTTTCTCGTTCCTTAATCCCACGTTTCTTTATTGTCACAGGGCTGCAAATTCGCATCCTTTGCAGAAACAACGGCCCAGATGAGATGTATGACCTCAGTGTCCTTACAGTCTGTGCCTGGGAACGGCTCTGCTGTGGGTTATCTTGTCCCCTGATAGTGATGCTTGAATTATGTTATTCAGATGCCATTGAATTTTTTGGATCCCATTATCATCTCTTGTTCCCTTTTTTATGGTATTTTGAAGTCTTGCTTAAAAAAAAAAAATTAAAAAAAAATCTCAGCTCAAGTGAAAATAAAAACCTCTCCCTTTACGACTTAGGGGCTCTTTGATGTGCTGCCATCTCTGCCTTTGGTGTTGCAATATTTCTGAGTCGGAGGGGGGGAAAAAAAGGTCACATACGTAAGATATAGAGAATAGGAGGATGTGGCAGGCACCAGGGAAATTGTCATTTCATCCTGGGGTCCTGTGGTCAGAGCCCCAGGCTTTTATTTTGCTTGAGGAGAGAGCCGGAGAAGGGCTGGTACGAGCGTGGGAATCCGTGGGAGAGATGAGGCTCTGTCAGTGAATCACCAGCTTCTCGGCTCCAACCTGAGGCTTAAGCAGAGCTCAGAACTTGAGCAAGTCTGACGTGGTAGAGCAGAAATACTCCTCAGATGCACTGACAACGGGAATGGCTGTGCCAGGTGAAGCAGAAGATGCTCCATGGGAAGACGTTTTCTGGCAGAATCGAAGGCCTCCTTGACTTAAATCGTAGGCTCTTGACAAGGGGGTAAAAAAAAGAAAATAAGAAAGGATAAAAAAGTCAAGCTTGTTTCAGACTGTCAAAGTCTCTTGTTTTCCTGCCTGCCTTTCTATCCATCGGCCTGATTCACTTCTTTACTCAGGTTGTTTCTCCAGTTCTCCACTTGCTGCTGGGATCAGTCCTGTCCTGGTTTCGTTCTTGGTACCTCTGACACCTTCCTGAGCGTCTCCATCCTCAAAATGAAGACAGGCGTGTTGCAGTCGAGCTGACAGTCCCACACCCTGAGGATGGGAATGGGATGTAGCAGGATTAAGTGCTGGAGAGCTGGGGTTACACTGCATGCTGTCACTCTGCACCATGTGCTGTGATAGCTGCTCAGCTAAACCAGGGACATTTGGAGTCAGATCTCTGAAGAACTGGTAGATAGGTGAAAGAAAGAAGTAATTTGTGCTGTATACATTTTTAAATAACAAGTGGTGGGACACATATATATGTATATTATATGTAAATATATATATATGTGTGTGTGTGTGTAAGAAAATATATGGAAGGTGTGCTAATTTTCACATGAGATGTGATGGTGCATAGGAGGTCCTGTGTGTGTTATTATTCCTGGAGGTAAGTGAGCAGCTGTGATGGTTATTTGTGAGTTCAGAAGCAGGAGGGCTGGCTGGGGTGGTTTTTTTGGGGTTCCTGGGCTTTGTCTCCATGCATTGCTTGGTGCCAGCATGCCACGTGAGGTGATGGATCCACCCCCCGTGTTAAAACTAAACCTCAACTCTCTGTGGATCCACAGGGGCTCTGCAAAACCCCACTGGAGCAGAAGGGACCTCTCCTGCATTTTCCCATCTTTTTGGGGGGGACTGTATGTTGTTTAAGGGGTTTATGATCAGCCTTCTCCAAAACAAAGGGAGTTTTCCCAACGTTGAGTTTGCCACTCTCACTTGATGAGGTTTTTTTGGCCCTGAACATTAGCAAAGGGTAATGATGGCTGATCGTGTGTCTCATACCCTTGGAAAGCTAAAACGCTAAAATTCAGGCAGTTATTAAGATTTTAAAAGGTAAAATCCATTCTGAAACCTACCTGCTGTGAGGAGCTGTGACCAGAATAAACAACACATTTCCCCATTTCTAAAGATCAGTTCATTCTTGGTTTGGGAAGGACTGTTTATCTCTCCACCACCACGTTAAATACATACAGTACAATTACATAACAGCCTATTTAACATTCATAATAGGACAAATTTAATTGTGCTCATTTCCATGCTCTCACAGGGCTTTCCTTTGTCGAATTTGACTGCCAGAAGAGGTGAAATGAGAAGGTGTGTGGTATTCCTGCAGCTTTAGCATTGCTTTGGCAAACTCGATGAGCTGTATTAGTTTTGCTCCAAATGGAGCTGCAGTTGTACAAGATTTCCCTGAAAATATCAAATCCCTGAAACTGCATTTCTTTTGCATTAGGTGGCTATCTTCATATTTACTGCACTTCAGGGTCTGGATGTTTTTATAACTTTTATTCATGTTTTTCTGGGCTGCATTGGCACAAAAGGCCGCTTATTGGGATTTTTTATGCTTTGTTATCCAACCCCCAAACAATTAGGTATAATCCTCTGTTTCATCCTGAAGCTCTGTAGTGAAATTGCAAGTTAGAGCTTGAGATGAATTCCTGCTGGAGCTGGGAAGAAAATTGCCTCTCTGCTGCTCTTGCTCTCTCTCACTCCACCTTTAATAACAACGTTTTGCCTTTTGTTTTCCCCAATAAGTACAAATTTCCACTCCACTTACCTGCAAATGCAATTTTTGTCAGCCTTGTGTGTGCTGTTATTTCCTGACTCTCTCCTGAGCTGCTCAGCCCAGCTGCTGTTCTTCATTTATCACCCAGCTCTGTGTTACTTGGTATTGCAAACCCTCCTCCTCCGTGGCTCTGTATTCAACACCAGTTACCATTTTCTGCAGCAATGTGT